TCTCTATGAATCGGTAAAAGTCTCTCCACGTCGTTCTTCTAAAAATGTCCTTTTAGAGGCTTTTTGGAATTCGCTTATCCACGAAACTCGATGACTTTAACTGGACGATTACGAAATAACGAAAATCTACTTGGTACGAGATCGAGCGTGGTATCTGTCGTTCGGTAACCGGTATTCAATGAAAACGTGCCATAATAGGAAACAGTTACGCTCGACCTTCTCCGATCTTAGCGTACACTAAAATTTCTGCTTACGTATTTTGGTATACGTGTCACGTATCGATGACTCAATCGAGTGTACTTCAAGTCCAACGAACGTATGATTTGCAGTAGCAACGAGAGCTAGTTGAATTTCGTTGCTTCGTTCGTCGGTTTGCCAACATCTTCGCGAGTTAATTAAATTTATCCCTGGCTTCGGAAATATGTACCTCGCATGTACATTCATTAGAGGTCGGGTCGAACGTGAGAATATTTACGATTAATCCTGTTCCAGGTAATCGCAGTTCCGTTACCGTTTCTCGAAATTATATCCACTCGAAATGAAATGAAATTTTGAAATCGCGAAAAACGAATTTTCGGATTCTAGTAATACCGAGAAATGTTTGGGAATGAATTACGATTTGATTTATATTCGAATTGTAACGAGATTTGGGAGCATTCGTTGATTAAATGATAAAATATGCGTTTCCTCGCGAGGAATATGGACGGGCAGAAGATTCGAGTCTCACCTGGGCGTTACGCCACTGCGTGGGACGATGCACAGTGCAGTCGGGCGATGCACCAAGGTCGAGGCCACCTATGCCACTACCTGAGAGTGCATCTTGGCTCGTGCATACGTGTGCGAGCAACACGCGTTGCGTGTTCGCGTTAGCCGCACGCGAACCAGTGTTAAGTGCAAAGACCTCCCTCGCGTGTTTCAGAAATACTCGTTAATTTGACGAGCGCGACTTTGCACGGCTCACCGTGCAATTTTCGCGACGAAACCGCTCTCTTATTTCCATTACTCCTCGCCACAAGACAAATCGTACGTGTTTAATCGATTACACGCGATCCTCTCGCTTTTTATCCTATTTCACGTGGATCCTATACGAGCACGAATTATCCTTTGTCCCGTTTCATACCGATTCATCTTCTCATTCATCCTATTCCATTTCCTCCAATTTGTTTCCCAATATTTTATACGACCTTCCCGTACAGTTCACGTTTCATTTGCTCGCGAGTATTCGTCGAGTAAGCACGAACGTTGGGGTACCGGCATGCAATCTAGGGAGAAAATGATGATACTAGTGAAATTCGATCCAAGGGAATGGTATTTTCCTGGTTTACCGAACGTTGCGTTCTTTCGTTGCTCGTCGAATTATGATTCAACCGATACATGTATATCTTTTTCCTCGCGCGATGTATCTGCACGATAAGATAGTCGTATTCTTGTATTATTTTTAAGCGGGTATCGTCTTTCCATGTTTTACCGCAGCGTCACGCATACCGAGTGCAATCACGCCTGACCATTCGATCCTTTCTTTCTTGTCGATTCACTTACGGTTTCCGTCGAAGGATGATTAAAACCGGATCGAATGGAAACCAGTCAAGGTAACGTCCTTGCGACGCGGATGGTCCGCTGGCGAAGAAATTCGGTTTCACGAGTGCTCATCGATCAATCTGCCAATAATTAATTGTACCCGTGCGAGTTTATCGTTATCGGGTCGTTCTTTCGAAGCTCGTGTTCTTCCACTATCATGCGTTTTTCCTTTTTATATCATTCCCCTATGCTTCTCAGTTCTCGTACCCCTGGGACGTTTGGCGAAGGCAGAATGCGGCTAGCCGACGAGGAGGATTACAGAACAAGGATATTATTTTCTAGACAACTTTATTACATATCAGAATACAGCCTACAGTTTGTAAATTAGATGCTTATCGATATAATCTTAAATATAAGTAACATCCGGCAGGCTTAAATAAGAGACATTGCCATCTAAAATCCATTAAAAAATATGAAAAAACGATCGTAACCGGATAAAAAATAAATTTGAAAGTCATAATGCACATTGCTTTGCTTTTATTATTGATTACAAAAAGTCCTCAGCGTGTACGTGACTGTAACGTGTCTCTGTTTCATGTATCCACGTATATATTGTAGAATTACGGGAAGATGTCAGGTATATGAATTTTTCCTTTCATACCCTCTGTTCTTCTCGTTTCGTTTCTTCCTTCTCGCTTTTCCTCTCGTTTTCATATGTCATCTACAGTCGCATAACATGTACAACGTGTATGTCATTTAATGTCGAGGAAGAGCCCGTGGCAGTGAACAGAATGGGTATGTAAATATAACCTACGATCTAGAATAGAGTACGTGATTTGATACATTGCTTTTGCATGCATTGTTAATGATATTTCCTTTCGTTTAATTCTCTTATAATCATTACATTTCATCTTCATCTTCTTTATAGTTTTGTATTTTTTTTTTTTTTTTTTTTTTTTTTTTTTTTTTTTTTCTTTAACTAGCAAGCATTTAACAATTGATTCGTTTCCTTCCATTGTTTTCCCCCTTTCATCTCCTGGTACGATTATTCTTTTTCAATGATATGACGTGTCAATATGTAGCAAAGTACCCTCAATATGTACCCTCAGGGAGCCGCCAAAGCCAAACCATAATCGTCTTAGTCAATATAATTTAGCTATACAACGGTGTATATCAAAACTTATAAAATACCCAAAACCACTATGGCGACTGCCCTGACCCTGCATTTTTGCGCGATATTCTTTTTCCTTGATATGCGTTTAGAGCCAGGCTTCTTATTGGTCATTGATTTAAAACGTTTAAAAGTTCGTGGATCTCGCGTGCGTGTATTATGTATATGTGCGTGATCGATCGAATCGGTATCGTTTCTTTTCATATCGTCACGTGTCCATCGATATCGTTGAGACGTAAGACAATATCCCCGAACAGAGTCGCGGTAATAGTCGTTATTTGAAAGCCGGCGGTGGTGCCCTCTGTCCGTTCGTTTTCGACGAGTCCTCGCTGGTCATCACTGTCACCAGTTCACCGACTACTTTCCCTAAGTCTCCTAAAAGAGAATTTCACCACTTGAATTCTTTTCTCCTGATTGATCTTCTGCTCCCTCGTTTACTAGAATTATCTAATTAACATTATTAAAGATCACCTTTTCCTAAATACAAAAGAAAATTGTTATTCAATACTGAAGCATTTATACGTATCGACCGACTGCATGCAGGCATACGTGAATGATGGAAACAATGCCTGGCGGGTGTGTACTCGATTCGGGGATACGTGAACGTGAACACGCAGGGAAGAAAGCAACGAACAAACAAGTACATAAGAATAGAAATATATAGGGTGAACTAGTTAGAAAAGCTTGTACTAAATATTTCTTCTACCTTTGAGGATGTGAAAATATTATCTCTTCGGTAATTCGATAAAAACAAATTTACCTGTGCCAATACAAAGTTCTATCATCTTGAAATATGTTTCACCCTATACAACTGGCAATCGACAGAGATGTCAAGTATCTTTACGTCAGCGAGTGTACAAGACAATATTGAACAATATACGATCCTTGTTTTCACAAGATTAGATATGTTTGAAAGAACAGTGCGTACAAGAAGAATCAGCGGGAAAGAAGCGTTGATAGTCTCACCTTACATCCATTCTGTGGCGTGAAAAACAGGAAAGCATTGTTATTGTTAAGCAGAAATGAGATCGTGCATAAGAAACGTTCGACATAGCAGTTTTTCTTTTTTTTTTTTCTTTAATTACACTACATATAAAACGTGATCGTACTGATCAAAGTACACGAAGAATGGAACGAACCTGCCATGTGCAAGAGATTGCCTACGTTGTGGGCAACGCTGTGAGAATGCGGTGGCGGTGGTGGCCTCTCTAAACTGCTCACTCTTCCTTCGTTCGAGCCTCCACCACCTACGTCCATACACCCATACCAATAAGCTTTATGCTAATCTCCTCGGCACTTTGTGAAACGCTCATTAATATGCAGTTAGTATCTAATAGCGTCAGAAATACCCCGTCGCCCACTTATTTTGAATAACGAGTATAACTCCAATGGCATATACGCCAGCATTGCAAATGATTTGAACTCCATGTGTAATGAGTACGGAAGAAGATTTCATCTGTATGCGGTGGCTGTTTGAATTAAATAATAAATGACGCGGAAAATTAAAGATTGAAACGTGATGAGTAATGTTCGTGTGAATGATGATGGGAATTTAATTCACCAATTCCATTCATGACTGAAAAATAAAGTGTTGCTCTCTATGAAATTTTAGCATGAGGTTGATGCTTACGTTTCTATTTAACATACCTGGAGAATCGTGATAATGTCCGTTCATTTTAGCAGGTGAATCTGTTGCCAATTGAGATGCAGTCACGCTTCGCGTTTGTAGTGTGCCCGTTTTTGATGGCGAGGAAGCATTTGGCTGCAAAGGAAGGATAAAAATAATTAACGTTACGTGCGTAGGTTTCATCGAACAATTCTCAAAGAGATAATACTAAACTTAAAGAGACTCGCGCATCTGTAAATCTTGAGTAGCTTCATTCAACTACAGGAGTTATTATCCAACCATTACCTAACTACAGACACATCATTATCAAAGACAACATAACAACTACAACGTACTTCGTCCAAAAGTTGTCTGAGTCTCTGTAGTTGCGCTTCCAGCTGACGATTATGATCCTCGAGTATCTGCATGCGCGCCTCTAATCTACCCTTATGCTGTCTCAATAATTTCGCCTCAGCGATCATGTCACAGTCAGGCTGTCGGTTACCGTGACCGTCTTCCGGCGTTGAGCCCGGAGTCTGTTTCGAGCGTAACCGTTCGTATTCCGCTTGGAGTGTTGCGTTCTCCTCCTCCAGCTCGCGTATCATCGCTTCGAGTTCCTCTCTCTGTTCAGCGTCGATAGCGGCCATCATCTGCACAGGGCTCCTGGGCACGTTCACATTGTCACCGCCGTTCAAGCTCTGACAATAATGGGCAATCAGCTGATGCTCGTCGTCACTGTCCGGCGTTGAGTTGCTTCTTGTACGCGATAACTCGACTTCCGCCAGCCGGGACGCGTACATTTCCAATCGAGAGTGCATGTCCTGGCTAAGGGAGCTATGTTGCGGCGAGGGCGCTGGGCTTTCGAGCGCGTCTCCCTCCAGAACAGTCTGCACCGGCAGATAACCGACTCTCGGATGCTTTTTGAAGTATCTCTTCGACTTGAATTTGTTCCGAAGCGCTCTCGTGAAGTCGCGCACGTCCTCGCCAGATGTGGTCTGCGAAATAAACGGGTATTATTGTCTCGCATTACGGATTTGGAGAGGTCGTTCCGTAAGGTATCGCAAAACAAGTGTGAACCTTACCGCTGTGCAATATTCCTGCATCGGATGCGTCAATTTGTGGTTCTTTGCCTTTCGGCCCGAGAAGAAGCAGTTCTGGCACATGTCGAAATTGAAGCATTTCAAACAACGATACCTGTAATCGGACGTCACACAATCTTCGTCTTAAATTCGTTGCAAACTGAGAAATATGTAATACCTGAATCCAGTGATAGGATATTCCTTGCATATGTTACATTTGGCTTGATGCTTTGCGCTCTCCGCGGCGGAGAGTCTATGAAGCACAGGCAACCAGACCATGCTCTGCGGCTCTTGTTGCAGCCAGCTCAAAAAGTGCACCGCTTCTATCTCATTTTTGTCTTTCCCAGCTTTCTCGAAGCAGCTGCGAACACTCGGCTCGATGTTCGATCCTCCGAATGCCGCCACTTCTCCCAGCTGCCTTGGCACTTGGATGCAGTCGTGCAACAATAAACCGAGCTTTCGTTGATCCACCAGTCTGTTTGGATCAGCGATCAGCCGGAACAGATCTGGAATAACGGAGTTACCATTACGTTCTGTACTCACGCCAAGAAGGAGCAAACGGAAATGGACCAATACTCACATCGATATTTCTCTTCCAAATGTCCCTTGCACAACAGGACCAGACCAACTTTGAAGGAGAGAACGCGAATCTGGCCGGTTCGTTGACTGAAACAGGACAACGAGAGCTTGCTGAGCGTTAAAATTTCAACACAACTGTCATTCTGTCAGGTGGATCGGGACGGGGGCAGGGATGCATGATTTATTTAATTACCAACGATCGTTGATCGTGCTCACCTATCGTACACGTTGAGGAGCCAGTTGATGGCCAAATCGATGCACAACGGCACGGACACTTGCGTCGGATTATCCGCCGTTATCACTTCGTACAGGGACGTCAGGACTGTCACCATGTCGGGAATGTCGATTAGTTTGTCGTTTTGCGCTCGGAGTCCGTGCGAATCGAACTGCTCTAATGCGGTGGAAAGACTCAACATGTCCACTGCAAACGAAAATGCGTGCGATAAATAAAAGAAATTGCGCAACGAGATACAGCGAACAACGAATTAACAGATGCGTGAATTAAAACACGGATCTAAAAAAGACAAGATATTTTTCGTCTCGTCGATAGAACCACCAGGATGAACACCACTGGTCGGCAAGCAAAACAGAACCATGCAAAAGATCAAATGCATCAACAACGACGGCGGTATGCGTCATCACTGGGACACGTGATTAATCGAGAAAATTACGACGATTAATGAACACGCACGATAGACGCTGGCTAATCACCAGGCCAGGGCCGATCGTCGTGGAATAAAAGCGATCGGATTAGAAAAGAATACTCACGGCACAATCGCTTTTGCACGGTGCGCAGCTTCATCGCGGTCCTGTACGCCGAAAATCGTACTTCGTTCAGGTCCGCCAGCGAGGACATCAGCTCTATCATCTTCGGATGATCCCAATGGGTGGTCTCCGACTGATGGCTGTAAAGCGTTCCATGGGATTAGAACGATCCGATCCGGGATTAAAAGATTCATGAAAATTTTCACGCAACAGCCACGGATCCCTGAGCGAGAAGTTGGCAAAGTCGAGGATAGAACTTTGTTTAATCTTTATTAAATCCGGTCGCGATTCTTGGCTCGAGCCGCAAGCCAGGTTTTAAGAATTTATCCACGGCCCGGCGAATTCGCGAATTCATCGGATCCCGTGGTCTCCGCGATCATCCGGATATAGGGGCGAACCAAAATCGGCTTTAACTCTCGATTGAGGCCCGCAAGATGGAGTCGAGGCGAACCGCTCCGCTCTTGCCAAGCATCTCGCGGTGTTCGCGGTGATAACGAGAAAGCGCAATCACGGCGACGAAATTTAAGGGTGCTAGATGTATCGTCTATTTGGCGATACAGAAATCGTCGACAGGACTTCACGTCAAAGCGAAACGCGATACCGGCGACTAATTAGAAGCCACGACACGGGCAATATCATGCGATACCCATACGCGATTTTGTTTTCGATCAAGATTAAACCTTTTACTCCACCAATCGCGATTCTCGCTGTACCAGTTACGCAATCAATATTCCAGCCCGTCAGTCGAGAGTTAAGCCTCCCCCGGTTCAAATCCGGTCGCCGATCTAAATTGGAATTTCTATCGTTTCATCCATTTGCAAGCACGCCCGACTAAATATTCGCGGCTCGGCGTGAAATCCCGCAGACGGCACCGCCCGCCAACTTCTTATTGCCCTTCCCCATTCCGAATCACGATTGTGTCTCATCAATTATTCGTTTGTTCGCGTTTTGAGATCGCGTGGTGCGGATCCGCTCGGCCATTTCTCGCCGGCAAATTTAACGGGCCAGTTCGGCTCGGTGGAAGGAAGATCGATTACTTGATATAGTAAGGCACTTTGGCGGGTGTGAGGGCTCTCTCCCATGGTGGTTCCACGCTGCTCGCGAGGAAAGCCTGGCTACCCGGAGTGCTGCCATCCTTTCCAAATCCGCTTAGCAACTTGTAACGCTCGTCAACCGCCACTTGCAGCACCTTCCACCTGCGAAAACACGAGAAAAACTTAGCGTCTTCTGACTGGTCGCCGGAAAGTAAGCAACGTTCGTGTGCCGACGAGTAAATTCGACGGATTAGTCAACGTCCGACGAATGAACGCGGATGGGCAAAAGGAGAAAAAGGGGCCAGCGCACTCGGCTTCCCGAGCCATTTCCACTTCGCGAGAACTTCGATTTTCCTTCGTTGCGATTACTGCCGTGAAGGGTGTCGAGGTACGTTACGTTATTTGGGTAATTGGAGCGATAAACGGCGAGCTAGAGTTGCGTAAGGACGCGGATCGTGTTGCGCGGAGGGACGGTGAAAATCGCTTCGTTTAACGTGTATTTAGATGCGTGGAGTAGACGGGGTGTAGCGCTGTTGTTTAAAAGCCTTGCTTTAAGCGCGTATGCATGACGTTCGTTTCAATGGACCCGCGTACACCTGCTGAAATTTCCCTCTCGAATGCAACGTGTGTTTATGATAAACAACCGAACGGTTCCCGGCGCGAGTTCCACGAACAGTCGATATCGTATTTATTATCGTGTTCGAACGCGAGATATCTCGCCTGGCTATTTAATCTCCCGCGACGTTGTGCAAACACTCTGCACGATTAACTTGAAAAATGTACGGGGGGATTTTCAATTCCTTTCTTTTCGCGCATTTTCCTTAAATCCGCGAATTTATTTCCCAACGACCGGGGGGCGACTCGAACAGACAGCGTCGAAATTCGGAAATTCGACAAAGGATTCGGGTTCCAATTTAAAGAACCTCGGAGATGAGATCGGTGTAACGAGATTGCTCGGTAGAAAGGACGAAATTCGGCATTTAAGTGGTCATACGAGTCGCATTAGCGTGACAAATTTCACGGAATTACGTTCACGGGTGAGGATACCTGGTGTTGAGATCTTCGAGTTTCGCCAGCAAAGCATGAGAAACGATGACGCTGCTCGAGGCGAAGACGCTCGCTTGATCGTTCGCGTACTCGATGCTCCTCTGGATCGGCAAGAGTCGTTCGCCGAATTTCTCCAATTGCTTCAGCAATTCCGTTGCCTCGTTCGCGTCGCTCGCATTCTGCCAGCCGCTCTGGATCGCCTCGGCGCCGGCCATCCGCGACGAAAGATCCTCCAGCGTCTTTTGGAACACGCATATTTTCTGAAACGAGAGAAACGACCGAATATAGATTATCCTGGCGTATATACATCTGGCAGGGACGTGCAACGATAATACTCCCGCGGACCAGAGGGCTGGGGGTCGAGCTAGAGGGGTGAGGCCACTTTGGCAGGCTTAAAGTCGAAACTTTAACGCAATTTCTTCTCTCGCGAAAGTTTTGCCGGTTTAAACGTTTTGCTCGTCGCGCCACGATTTTACCGGAACGTTAAACGCCTTAAGTGTATAATACGCGCGATAACTTTCCTTTCTTTCCTTTTCTTTCCCTCTTCGTGCGCCCGGTCGTTGTAAACTGGAAGAAAAATTTGTCTTTAATCTGGCCGGAGCATCGTGTACGGTTTTGTACAGCGTCGGGGAAGTCGGGTGAATTAATTTATCGAAAAAAGAAAAAGGTGTCGGGGAAATGGAGATAGTCGTAGCAGACCACCGCAGGTGCATCGTTGCAACCCTGGGAAAAAGATGTCGCGGAATGTCAGAGAGCGTTAAAACGAGCTTTTGCTTTTTTCTTATTCCGATGTTCCCTTTTCCCTGCATTTTTCTTCCCGCCGCTTGTTTTACTTCGCTTTGTTTTAAATGGGTATCGATCGTCATGGATGAATGAACACGCGCGTTCATTCATAGCTCTGATTCATAGCTCGGCTTGATATATGTGGTTTAACCGTGTATTATATGTACACCGCTAGTCGCGTATATGCCCTGTCACATTTTCAATATCGGCAATTTCGTACGTTCAATTCCACCCAAAGCTGTTATTATCGAATTTCTTGTACGTATTTCTACAGAATTTTAGGATACTATACTCGATAGTCGTTTTTGGCTTCGAGAGATATAAAATCTTCAAACCTACCCCCCTGATTGTATTTTCTATTTCTGGAAATTTTATTTTCCTTGTTATATTTTCATACTGTATTATTATATTCTTGTATTTGTAACATTTTATCTCTGTATTTTTTGGTGCTTCCAAATTGCTTTTTTAATTTCCGCAATTTTTATACTGTTGTTTTTCGCTGATATTTTTCTTGGTAGACTTTCTTCTACCGCTTGCTCTGTTTTATTTGATTATCTTTTTCATTACCACTGCTGGAATTTTTATTGTCGGAATTCTTTCGCGACCTCTATTTTATTTAATGCCGCACTTTTGCTGTATACTTCTTAAATTTCCCGGAATTTTTTATCATTTTTCTTTTCTCTTTGTGTTCCCTTTTTGTTATAGAAATTTCCATCCGTAAATTCGCTTTCTCCGAAATCAGAAATTTTTCAGACTTTGAATTTTGTCACCACGGTAAAGTGCAAATCCCAGGAAAGTATCGTGGGATGAAAAGCTGCTTTTCCTTTTATAGGCTGATAAATTATTTCCCAATATTGATTCGGGATAACTCACTTAATTCCCACAGAAATAACTAGAACCGAAGAGGAAATTCAGAAACACGTTCGACAGTGGTCAAATAGGCATCAGAAACGATTTTGGAGAAAGTGATCATTCACTGACACTCTACCCAAACAACACACCAGAAATCATTGGTTGGGATATATATTATATCTGTCCATGACAGGTAATTGATCGAGAGGTAGAGTTATGACAGCGCGTTGACCACTTTTCAGTATCATTTTGACACTGGCGGAAAACCGAAATTCGCAGAGAAACTAGATTCGAAACCCTCGTAAAAATTGTCGAGTGTCCACCCATCTCTTTCGGCTCCTCCACGAGTGGTATTTAACTTGAAAGACCACCACACCCTCCATCACCGACTAGGTGCCACCTCAGTACTTTCACCTTTGACTCGAATAATTTTTAATAAGGTAGATAAGGAATAAAATTTTGGTAGATTTACAAATTTTATTCGCACAAATGAAATACTCCAATTATTCCAATTAGTATACCACCTGATCTCTTTAATATTAAATATACAATTAATAGGATGAAAATTCATAGTAAACTTTCCTCGACCTGTCTTCTAAATTAATTTCACACTATCAGTATAAACCTTGATAATGCAAGTTACTTTGATATGCATGAAAAGTTGATTAACCAAAAAATTAGATAAAATTTGTGCCCAAGGAAGCTACCTCGTAATTTTCGTCCATTAAAAACACTATATTTTCCACGTGAGAGAGAGATATTCACGGGACCATTTGCCAAGAAAACATTCATCGCCAAATGTTGGAGAAACGGAGGGGGGAGTAACCAGTTTCCGCGGTTGGCACCGAAAATAGTGTTTCCCGAATGAGCAGACATCGCTGCCCGCGGGAACGACGCCGGCGTCCGTCGGTCGAAAAGAAAGTTGCAAGCGTAATTGTCGGGAGCCGAGAAGTTTATGGTCATGAAAATCACGTTTATGGTTTACCAGGTTTTGCGCGGCCGCGCGGTACACGGGTCAGTCGTGAGTAATCGTTGCTATTAAAATTCGTTATAAATCGTGGCCGAGTCGCTCGTATTTCGCAGCCAGCTAGAAGACCCCGACTGCGTCGCGATAAAGACGCTAATAGCGAGGCGACGAAAGCGGTTTGTCCCACGATAAGGTGACGATAACTCTGAGCTGGCAATGATAACGAATCGAATTTTCTGTATTCGCGATAATCCCACGATCATATTTCCTTTAGAACGAGTGATACAGCAGAAAAGAGGAATCGCCATTGAATTTTTGCAACACGGACAACCATTAAACCGATAAACGCGTTCTCCATTATGGCGGTCAGTGGTGACTATCTGATCGACCTTTACGTCCGAATCTTACTGGTCACCGATGATCGATTTGTAAAAATTGTCAAATAAATATACTGTATTTTTGTATAATTTAACAACGGTTAATTAAAATTAAGGGATGATTTTATCGTTCATATTAAGATAATAAAATCTATCATTAAAGTAACTGGAAAATGGAGGCATGTTCATCGCGCAATCTTAACCTTTGTTAATTTTCCTACCTCCGTTTTACCTCGGTTATTCGTTTAATTTCTGCTAGCAACTTGTTAGAAATTGCAGAAGGAAAGAGGAGGAAAAACGAAGTTGAGCAGCCGCTTGTAACAATTAGATTTCCCGAGTTTCTCTTTGTCAACCGTGGATAAAGCAGTTAGAAAATCGTCGGAGTTTTGATTAAAGTAATTCCGGGAAATTGAATCCCCCGTAGGGTTGTTTAAACGAGACTCAAACGGCGAGCAACAAGTTAATAAATATCTAATTGAGGGAAGCTGCGGAAAATCATACGTTTCGTCCTTAATTTACCACTTTTAGTCATCGGGTACGCGCAATCGAATTACAGGGCCGCTATATTCCACCCCCTCCGGCTCATTTCGCCGTTATATCCGTTCGTTTAACCACGGCTGGAAAAAATCACGGGGAACAAAAGTTTCTGGGCCACGCGATTCTCCGGTCGACGCGTTTCGATAAAAGAGCCGCGTAGTCGGGATAACGCGTCCCTTTTTCCGCTTCGATAAATTACGTTCGGGGTTGAGGAACGACGGGGTGGACTCGCGAACCAATGGGATACAAGGGCCGCGACAATAACCCTTAAACAACGCGTAACATCCCCTTTCAGGCCAGTCCCGACGACGCGAAAGCTGTCGCGTTTTCCATTCATTCGATTACTCTCCATTCACCCGTTGCACCCTTACTTCGCTCGTTCTTCCCTTAAGTCGCTCTACCTCTTCGCGGTCGAGAACCACCCCGCGTTGGGAACACCCGTTGCAACTTGCCGAAGGGAAAACGATTGCCACGGTGTCGGCGCATTTCCACCCTGTCCTTCGCTTTGCTTACGCGTTCGGCCGCTCCTTTTGCTCCCCATTCCGCGTGAAAGCAAGGGAAATAGGGTTTTCAGGAGAAAAGGGTTCGGGAATGGATTAAACGAAATGATTTCGCGCCGGTTCCGCGGTTCATTCCTTCACGAAGCGATTTTCGAATCGGGGTAGTTTTGTTTACCTCTGTCAATTCTTTGCGGCACAGGATTTCAGATAATAAAAGGACCCATGTTGCAAAGAAATTTGGTTCAACAATCGATGAGCCTGTATTGGCACGTTGAATGTTGTCAACACAAGGGAACAAATTTATAACGTTTGTCGAAGGTATCGCCAATATTTCATAGGCTTTAGGTAAATATGCAGCTATCGCAATATTTCCAGATGGGCCTAAAAATGTCTCACCATGCATTACTGTGCATCAAAAAGATGGAATACTTTTAATCCCAGCGTGCCCCAAAGAGTTAAATAAAAGGTTGTCAAACCGAATACTCAAGCATCGATGTCATTTCTTAAGTCTCGCGATTGTACATAGATTAATTCCTCTTTTCTGTCGACACTGTTCTTCGAAACGTTATCTATTTTTCCGTGTAAAGTAAATAAGCGAGACCAGCGCTATCGCACTGCTATATACTGTAGTTCTTGACAAGACTTTTCCAATAACCTTAGACACCTGAACAGTTAAATTAGCGATATACCAGCAAGATACTCGTTATTTTCCACATATTATATTGATCTACGATATCGTACATGTGTATGTCCCTCGCAGAAAACGCGTTAATGACCTACGCGAGCAATTTCCTTCCGACATCGTGGGACCACCGAGTCAGTCACTCGGTCCGATAAGTTGTCCATTGCAATGGACCTATTGTGGGAAAAATCCAAGCCAAATCCCGACGCTAGGAACGTCTCGAGCGAACCCAAAAATCCGGCGTTTTAGGGTTAAGAAGGTTCTCCACGGAGGGTCTGAAAAAATTCGGAAATAATACATGGAGCGAGAACGCGGGGGTAAGGAGGAACGTACAGAGGACAGAGGGTGAACAGAGGGCGGCGAACAGAGGAAAAGGGGAAACAATAGGCAGAACGAATGGCGGAAGGGAGAGCAGAGAGACGCGGAGAACAGAGAGGCGGCGGTACAGTGGAAGGAACGGCGGGAAAAACGCGAAGAGGGAGGGAAAAGGGCTGGTTGCGGAAAGAGCAACGGGGAAAACGAGGGAGGGAGACGGAGAGAGGCGAACAGTGGAAAAGGGTTG